AATATCCCAACCACCTTCTTTAATGATAGTCCAAGTGTCATTACCCTACTAAGTCTTGATTCCTCTCTCTTAATTAACATAATTCCAAATGAAATTATTTACTAAAGTCAAAATCCTCTCCATTCATGGAATGACACTTGGCTAATTCAAATCTTCTCCTTCAAGAGCTTGACACATGGCTCAATAGGATCCCTTGGATTTGCAAGACACCAATCTTGCTTTATCGGTATACTTTAGGCTCTGAGTTTAACTTCTTTTTTATAATTACAGTATCTTAGTCTCTGTAATTATTTTCTATCAGATCCTTAATTTATTCTCCTCATTATTGTCTTCCCAAATTGTCCTCTTTGTCTCAAAATTAATTTCCTAATATTTAAATAAAAAGGAAAATTAATTTCCCTCTCTTTAGGGATTTTTCCACTTTTCACATTTATTTGGAAAAATCTTGGACACTTGAGGGTTTCCATTTAATTCCATAATTCCTTATAATTCCTTGGGATCTCATAGGAATTTTCTTGGAATTTTATTCCTCTTAAAATATTTATTTGGAATTTTCCAAATAAAATCCCTCAATTAGCCTAAATCACCCTTAAATTCTCTTATAATTTCTCTAAGGGTAATTTGGTCATAAAACCAACTTTATAATTTCATATAAATCTCAAAGGATATTATCCCTATTTTTCCTTAATTTTCCATGGCTCGAAAATATTTTTCCTTATTTACATTTGACCAATTTTCTTTAATTAGTCAATTTCCTATAATTGGCTTGGAAAATTGCTGTAATTGTTTTCCACCAAAATTCTTTGACTTTTCCTTATTACTTTTAATCCTCAATAATTTGAGAATATTTCTTGTCTCCAATTATCATAATACTGGATGTGACACCAAGCGAGCTTTATTAAGGGAAGAAGTATAACTGATAATGTTATAATTGCCCAAGAACCAATCCACACGATGCGTAGGAAGACCGGGAAATGTGGATGGATGGCCATCAAAGTAGACTTAGAAAAGGCTTTTGATCGCCTAAGGTGGGAGTTCATTGAGGAAACACTACACAAGGCGGGGATCCCTTCCAACCTCATCAGAGTTATAATGCAATGTATCACCACTCCCACTATGCAGGTCATCTGGAATGGCTCGCCTACTGAGCCGTTCTCTCCCCAGAAGGGAATCCGACAAGGAGATCCACTCTCACCTTACCTCTTTGTGCTTTGTATGGAGCGTCTTTCACAAGCAATATGTGTAGAAGTGAACTCCCAGTCGTGGAAACCTATAAGGATGGGAAGAAAAGGCCCGCCCCTTTCCCACTTGTTTTTTGCAGACGACCTCATCTTGTTCAGCACAATTGCTCCCTCACAAGTTGCACTAATAAACAGATTGTTAAATGACTTCTGCTCAGCTTCGGGCTACAAAGTTAGTGCTGATAAGACCAGAGTTTTCTTCTCAAGAAATGTGAAAGCGGAAGAGGCAAATGCCATATGCAGCATGCTGGGTTTTAATAAGACCGACAACCTTGACAAATACTTAAGAGTCCCTCTACTTCACAGCCGAGTCACTAAGGACACTTATAAATACATTGAAGAGAGGGTGCACTAAAAGCTCGCAGGATGGAAAGCCAACACACTATCACTCGCTGGCAGGATCACTCTCGCCCAGTCAGTCCTCTCGGCTATCCCCTTATATGCCATGCAGTCAGCAAGACTCCCTGCTACCACCTGTGCCAAGATCTACCAAACTATTCGTAAATTCATATGCGGGACCACTGAAGCAAAACGGAAAGTGCACTTACTGAAGTGGGAATCTATGTGTCAGCCGAAGCAATGCGGGGGTTGTGGAATAAAGGACCTCATAGGTCAGAACGCTGCCTTTCCAATGAAGATTGCTTACAGCATCATTGCAAAACCCAACCTCTTCTGGGTCTAGATTCTTCGAGCTAAGTATGGCTGGGCCGACGACGTAAATCAGATACCACAAACCAAGAATGTCTCACATTTATGGAAAAACCTATCCACAGTATGGGAAGATATTTCTTTGGGCTTGAAATGGGAAATCGGTAATGGGCAAAGAGTTCGCTTTTGGGCCGACCCTTGGATAACTGACCTAGGGCCGCTTAAACACCTCTTATTCGTGCCCTAGATGAGATTGAACTCAACAAGACCATCAACCATTATGTGGGAAATGATGGCTCTTGGAAATGGTCAGAATTCTCCAACCTTTTGCCTATGGACATCCTACACCAAGTTACTAACCTTGAGCCACCCTCTAGACTTGAAGGCCCTGCTACATGCTATTGGGCCCTTGAAAAAAGGAAGATCTTTACTGTTAAATCTGCATACAGTTTAATCATAGGGGACAACTGGGACACCGAAAACGAGTAATGGAGAACCATTTGGAGCTGGCCTGGACCACAAAGAATAAGAACCTTCCTGTGGCTTGCTCTACATGATAAGCTACTCACAAACAAGGAGAGATCAAGGAGACACCTAGCGAATGAGGCTTTATGTAGCATCTGCGAACATGCAGTAGAAGACCTAGACCACATTCTACGACACTGCACGGTGGCAACTTCATGCTGGAATGTCTTGATACCCGTAGACGAACGTGAAGGGTTCTTAACCCAAAATTTCAGCACATGGTTCCTTGACCACTTAAGACCCCCAGACAAAAACGCAACGAAGCATATCACTTTCGACGTCTTATGCTGGAAATTTTGGAAGGCAAGGAACAACATTCTCTTCTCCCAGGAGGATACTAATATTACACGCCTCCTAAATGAAGCCCTTGCCCTAACAGAACACATAGTTACCATTAGGAATTTCGCAAGCCTTTGACCTCCTCTTCCTGAGGGCTATGTTGTACCCTGCTTTTGAATTTTGATTCACCTTGTACATATTTTCTCAGTAATGATATTTCATTCTCATTAAAAGAAAAAAGAAGTTATTTGGTTTAAGAAATTTTTTTTAAAAGAGATTATAATAAATAATTGAGAATTTTAATATAAAATATTTATATATTGTGTAATAAAGATACATTTGATTAAGTTATTGAATTTAAATAGTTTTATATGAAAATTTTATTGTCAAAATAATATCATATCTATTATAAATAAGAAAAATTTAGGAGAGTTAATATTTATGTAATTTTGGTTTCGAGGGTAGTTTTAGAATTTTAGAGTAGTTTTGGAGCAGTTTTGAGTTTTATATTAATAAATATTTACGCGCAATTTTGTAGATTCTTGAGAATTTTGGAGTAATCTTTGTGAATATTTGCAAGCTAGATTGCAAGGTAACTCTGAAAATTTTTTTTTGTACATATGAATTGTGTATGATTATATTGTTGATTTACTAATTTTTATATCATACTAAAATATAATATTATGATTTTTCAAATAAATATTTTGATATGTTATTTGATTTTGTTAAGATTTATTGCTATTAATTATGATCAATATTTAAATATATTGATGGCTATGGAATTGTCATGAGTTGTTATTAAATGGTATATAAGTTTTATTGCTATCTTATTTTTAATATATTTGAGGACGTATTTATGATGTAACATTATTGGCATTTGACATGCATGGTTGGGCTAAGGATAGAAGGAGATTGCATGGATATAAAAATTACCACGTGGTATGCCAGCACTCGGTGCACAATGGATAGCACTTATCAGCGCCCCTTCTTTCATGTTTTTCTTTGGCTGGGAATTCATTGGAGCTTTGGGACATGTGACACCTTTTTATGTTTATTTCCAAATGAGGAGAGCCATAGTCCGAGCTTGAACTCTATATTTTTGGCCGGATATATCTCTAGTATCAGTGAGGTTGGAATAATTTAGTAAAACGCATTAGTTCCTATCAAACTATGTAGTAGCCTATGGCTCTAGTTAGCGGTATAAGGGTAGACGGTGATATAAGGGAGGCAACATATTGTATTATTTTTGGATATGTTGGGAAAAAAAAAGATATTGATATATTGTTGAATCAAAAAATGAAATTGAGCTGAATGTATCAAACCGTGATTTTTAATATTTATATACACACATATAACTAGATTTTTGGTTTATCATATATAGTTTGCTTGTATATGTTAGAATTTCAATAGTTATTGAGACGTTTGATCTCACCCCTTATATTAACAATTTTCAGGTGAAGGATCTAGTAGGAATCAAGGGAAGGCACCAATGGAGTGAGTTGTAAAGGCTTCTGCTCCTCAAGCACATGCTATGTTGTATTTTTATTTCCCATGACTATAAGACTTCAATATTTTATTTTGTTATGTTAGAAATGTTTGAAATTATGACTTGTTTGAAGTGTTAGAAATATGTATAGAATTTTTAAATTAAATATTTTGTTACGCATATTGATATAATTATGTGAGGTGTTACAATATATACGTTAAAAGATGTAGCTAGCATTTATTTTTAATTCCTAAAAGTTACTTTTGTATAAGGGGGTGTTTGGCTATTGTCAAAAATCCTTCCTAAAAGTGCTTTTCCACAAAACGAGATAAACTCCTTCACATATCTGCTTCGCAAAACCATAAAAACACTTTTGGACTCATAGTTTGGTTTCTATCCAAACACTCCCTAAGTCATAGTAAGTTTTAGATGTTTTTGCAATCGTGTTTGAAAAAGTAGCTTTTGACTCATAAGTCAGATTGGTCAAAAGCTGTGACAAATAGTTTCTAAATTTACAGACTGACTCATTAAATTTTTAAGTTACTTTTGGCGATCAAAACGCTACAACAATCAGGAACTTGATCTGTTCTTCAATATTTTATAATTTTTATTTAGAAATCAGAATTTTGTATTTTCTGGTTTCTTTATTTATCATTTTCACATAATATAATCGCAGATTGATTTTCAGATCAGTAACGTAACTGCAGATGGGCTTGAAATGGGAAATACAAGCTGTAGGAACTAGACTGGTAAAAAAAAAAAAAAAACACCAAAGCTGTAGGAACTAGAGGGAGAAGGCCTAGGACGAGCGGAACAAGGCGCGCTTCGCTTTAGTTTACGGAAGCGGGAAGCGACAGTCGCACCCTCAAACCCTCACCACTTCCACAGTGAAACATGTTGGTGGTAGTAGTAGAAGTAACTGGCAGATTCACCGCACGAAACCATTGATACCTTCTGCTAGAAATGCGTCTTCTTTACCATAATAGGCTCCTTCTTAGATTTTATCTCCTGTCCTCAAGCATTCGCCCCATGAGCGCCAGAAGCTTGCGGCATTTCACAGCTTTTTCAAAGCCGACGACTTTGTCGTCTCAAGGAGACCTTCTTCACTCCCAGAGGCTCCTATTTTGTTTAAAACCTAGTTCGAGTATTCGTCCGTTATCACTCAGGACTAATGGTTATTCTTATATTTCTGAATCTGCCGCCCCTGGGCGAGGTAGGGTCATCTTGACATTTACATTTCATTGATAAGCTTGGAGGCTTTATGGCAGTCTTTTGGTTACTACATTTACATATTGACATTTGCATTCTGAAGTTTTCGAGGGGAACCCAGAGGAGGAGATGTCGGGGACGCATTTCAAGATTTTAAAAGTTAAATTGCAGGAGCTTGGTATTGATGCTGATTTATGCGGACCGGGGCAATACTACCGCTTGCTTTGTCCAAATGTATTATTGGTTTTCTTTCTCTTTTTGCAGTCTTGTGTAATCTGGTGAAGCTGTTCATGTGGTGATTATTGATGTTGTGTTATTATATTATGATTATTTGTTTTCTTATCCTTCAAGAAATTTATCTTGATTTTTCACAGCCACTGGCTTTTCTTTTTATTTGTTATTTATTATTATTATCTTTTTGAAGTTTCTTGTTGGCACGTTGGAAAGTGTGTTAACTCAAAAACATCTCTCCAAGTCACAGCCTGCGGAGTCCTCAGACCTAGCTGCCAGTGGCTTCTAGGTTTTGGGATTTGGTCTCAATTTAAGAGAGTTTTTTCTTCTGATGGCGTGCTCAATAGGTTGAGATTTTGGTTTTGGGTTATGAATTTGTCTGAAGTTGGTCCTAGAAGAGTGATGAGCAGCAAAGTTTTTCTCCTTTCATTTAAGCATTTAAAAGATTAAAAAATTTTAGAAGCTAAGTTAATGTAATTATACGGAAAAGTAAATTGATGAGTCAGAATTGAGTAAATGTAATTATACGGAAAAGGAACTTAATGAGTCAGAAACAAAGATACTTTGTTGTTCTGCCAAAAATCATTCCTCGATCTGTCAAAACTTCCATTAAACAAAAGAAAACGTCTGATGTTTGAAAACGTTCCATAACCAGCCTTTTCACGGTTGGCTTCTTCACAGAAAGAGGGTTTATTGTTTATTTAATTCAAGTTAACTGACTTCTATTGGCATTTTTGGTCTTAATCTTGTTTCTTAAAGAGTCGAAGATTTGGGCTGCTAAAGAGGATTGCCCCACCCAACTTTCATACACACATACCATTTTGATACTCTTTTATTTTTTCCTGTTAGTGCAATGGTGGTGATTCAGAAGAAAGGAGCTTATCTCTTTTCATCACGCAAGATGGGTTTGTTGCTATTCATTTTCTTCGTCAAATTGTTTCCTTTTTGGGTATCAAATGGATTATTTTTCTACTGCATTTAATATTGTAATTATCTGAGTCTTTCAGAGGGGCTGCTTTATGGATGTGCTTCCGTGCAAAATGTGGTTGGAAGGGCAGCACAAAGGTTAAACATTTTTCAGTTTTGAAGTATCCCATTTACCCCAGAGTATAGATTTGGATGCATATCAGCTTCTGTTTCTACTGTAGGCAGTTGCTGGTGGCCAGTCATTGAAGCATGTACCGAAAACTAAGAAAAAGAGAGAACTTTCTGAGTCAGAATTGATGCTAGAACCCCTTTGTGATGAGGTTATTATATTTCATGTTTTCTATTTTTGTTCCCACTACATTTAATTTTAGAGGTGCTATTGATCTTGATTGTGCAATCTCCGGTTCAATACTATCAGTTACTCAGTTATCTATTGACCACTGCTTAATTTAGTTTTATACAGCCGAATGCATGATTACTTTTTTATACCCTATCCTTTAATATTTTGATTTATAGCCAACTACCTAACATCATGCCTCAATGCATTGTTGACTAATGCTTTGTAGCTTTCACAAGTATATGTCTGTGGATTTGACCTTACATATCATGGCTTTGCCATGTTTTCCCGTGTTGTTTATGATATTGCATTTCTTTTGATTTTGATTTGTGTATAAAATAGGGATTATTTTGTTAGGAAATTTATTATGAGAGTCACAAGAAAGGAGAATAAGACATCCTCCACAATGAACTATATAAAGAGTAGCATAAAAAAAAATTTCATTGGAAAAAATGCAGCAAAGCTGTTTGCAAATCCAAGATAAGATTCCCCTTAAATAAACCATGAGCAGATTGCTTAAATGAGGATATGAGCACCATTCTTTTGTACCATCTATCCAAAGATAAAGATAGTTCTAAAAATTCAAGCATTGTTCTTTAACAGATTTAAACAATAATTTATGCCAATCAATAAGTTGAACTACAGCTGTCAAGCTACATGTTTTTTCCCCTAATAATCTTGGTCAAAGCTTTTGGATGCACCATTCATTTAGAGGGCCCCTTCAAGGGAGATGGATTTTGTCTGCTTTGAACAGAAAACAAGATATGCAAAGGCTATTATTATGATTTTATATATTAAATATTTATTTTTACAATGGCTTCCACTTTTATTTTTTTGGGGGGGATGTGAAGGACATTTCTCATCCACCAAATCACTCTTTTCCTTTCATTTTATTGTTGTGTACTTAAATGATCCCTTAGATGTTTGGGATTCATAATTCTCCATTTCTACTTCTAGGTATTTATTATTGCCAGAATTTCTACTTCTATATTACTTAGATGCAAAATGACAGTTCTAATATGTTAATTAATAAACTATATAATGAATATATTGCATGGTGCATTAATGTCATGTTTGGTTAGTGTTCATCTATTACGTAATGTATCTGTCAGATTTGCTTCTGTTAATAAATGTTTTGTTTATATGTGTAGAATAGAACCAAATTGATTATATTACATTGGTCCATTTCCTTGCGATATAGTGAACATGGCTTTGTTTTCCTTCTTTCAGCTGATTGCTTATTTCGCAGAACGTTTGATTTCGAAGGAGACTCTACTAAGAAATGGTGTTAGGCAGAGAATGTTTAGCGATCAGGTGAACTTTCGGGATATTTTATATCTGGGTAGAACATATACCTTCTGGGGGATTATTACTTAATTGATGAAGTAATCCTGATAGTTGTGGAAATTTCTTCCATCAATATAGGTTGACAGAGTCATAAGATTGGAAGTCTTTTTTCCTCAGAAAATTCTTCATGGAATTCTTGCAATAGTCGTTTTGGTGCTGTCATTTTCAGCTATGTTTTTTGGGTTCCACAGGAGCATAGCACCAGTTCAGATTCCAAGATTTTATTCCTTGATAGTTCTGAAAGATCATGCATGCAACCAACTCATTTTCAACAATTTGAAGAAAAAAAAGGAAGGAATAAATAAGGGGAAATGGAATGAAATGCTAACTTTTAAGTCTGTGCAGAAAGTTAAAAGTGTTATTCCTGTCAACCAGCTAAGCAAGGATTCAAGTCTGATAGTTTCTATAACTAGGCAAAATTTTGAAATGTCAATGACAATGGAAATAGTATCTTCTCATTTTTAAAGTAGATATTGTCCGTCCCCATTCTTTTACAAGCTACTAATCTGCATCATTATTTGTTTCCCCAATATACTTTAGCAGATTGTTATTGCATTTCCATATCTTCGTCAAGGAGATCTTGTTAGCTGCAAGTATCGGGACATCAACAAAAAATTTTGGCAGGTATAAGCAACTGCTGATGCTGAACATGTTAACAGTGGGTGGTAAAATTTGTCTGCTAGGAATTTGTCTTTTTGATTTGAAAGAATCAGTTGCTGGAAGGTGTTGATTCATCTGGAATGTGTGTCGGATAGAACAGCCACCGGTCTGATGTTATTCAGCCTCAAATTACTCCAGAGTGTAGGCCTGCTAGTAGAGAACAAACAGTCGCAGCTCTATCTATTCGAGAGACACAGACTCTCCCTCAACTTCCAAAAGCTTTCTTGCTTCTTCCCATGACCACCACACCCCTTTTACGCCCATCCCACACTCTCTCTCTCTCTAACTGCCATACATAAAATACCTCAATTACCCTTTTCTATATCTTTGGGCCTTTTCCTAACGTAAATCAGCCTAGGCTCAGGCCCATCAATAATCATTAAAAAAAAAAAAAAGATTGTTAAATCACAGAAGAGTAATATATAGTGAAATAAGAATATCCATTAATACTTCATAGTCTTCATGGAAAATATATTTACTTGTTTTATAATTTATAATTATAATTTTAGAATATCTATGTATACACACACATATTTCTTGCCTATTTGCTCAATATTCTTTAATTTTTTTAATGCTTATTAGGTATAAATATGCATAAATCGTAGCTTAAAAACATGAATTAAATTTTTAAACAAAAATTTTTTTTGACCGGCTCATCCAGTTCACCCATTGGTTCTTACGGCTTTTGACTGGTTCTTAACGTTCTTTACATTGGACATGTTGCTGAACCAACTAGTTTGGTCCAGTTCGCAAAACACTACCTTGACCCTTAACTAGCTGAATTTTCTTCGGAGGAGACACTACCACAGTCAAACAAGCAGCAAGAAAACCATAAAGTAATTGCTGCAAAGGTGAGCGGTATATCTAAAGAGTGGGTCTTTGATATAGCACATTGACGTAGTGTGGTCCATGTAGTTGACCTTGCCTAGTGGGATAAGTCATCTTCTTCTTGTTGTAATTGCTGCAAAGGTCATCCATACAAATACCCAGCCATTTCTTTCTCAAAATTCATCTTGAAAGAAGACCTTTAGGTGTGTTATAATTGGCACTGCTCCATTGATCTCTAAGAGAGTCCTTTGTGATGTTAGCTGCTCAGCCAACAATAGGAACTGTAATGGATTATAATTATTTACCTGTATCAGAAGCCATGGAAGATCAGCTGCTTGCATATAAAACTGAGTTGCCTGTTTAATCACTAAAATGGTACATGCCAGTCCTCTATATAGGCATATTTTTAAGTGCTAAACCATTTTAACTACTGCAGTTCTAATTTTCAAGCAGACAAAGCTAAACTTATATTTCAGATTGCTGTTTGTAATTTCCTTTTGTCCAAACGATCATAAAAGGAAGATTTAAGTCTGATCTATCTCTTGAAATTTTGTGTTGATATTTAGGGTTAAGCAAAATTATGATTGGCATAACTTAGAGGCTGAGGGGAGCATGCACTTCAGCCCCTGTACTTTCCCTATTTATAATATTCTGAAAACGAGTTTACTTGCAAGATGAAGTCCTAGAGATAAATATAACACTTATCTATGAAATTAAACTAGAGAATAGTCCAATGACGTAATTAAAGATTCCTAGAACATAAACTCCAAGTGTCTAGGAAACATAAATTCCTAATCTTATGACACTTCCTGTTACATTTTAACTCATCCTAGATTTCTCGACAATTTAAAAAAGATGTAAACATGTTACTGTTCTCAAGACTGAGATAAAGGGGGTAGATATTCCTCCATTTCTTGCACATTGGCGCACTAGACTCTGAAATGTTAGGCACCAGGTCAAGTATAAAAGACAACATATATTGGCATGATGATTTTTTTGGAATTGGACTATAAAGAGATGTGTGATTAATTTATTTGGATTCTCTTTATTTGAATGTGTCACCTTGTACCTCTGAAATCGGTGTCATCAATTTGTATTCTGTTTCATTTTTTTAATTGTAAATTATGGAATATCTTTATGCTCGTAGCATCTTCTTTTTCCATCTGTTGTCAAATGCTCTAACTTTATGGCTTATTGTATCTTATGACGTTATAGATTATAGATGTTGCTTAATGTTCTGTTGCTTCAGGAAGCTGACACTGAAAAGATATTTTATGGATTGGATGATATTGAAGGGCAAAGTGATATTATCATTGTATGTATCTTCATTTGTATGGAGAAACTATTCAGAAGTCAAAGTTTTGTTGTATGTTTAGTATATAACTTCAGTAATATAGGTTGAAGGTGAAATGGACAAACTTGCAATGGAAGAAGCTGGCTTTCGCAATTGTGTGAGTGTTCCTGATGGTGCGCCTGCAACAGTCTCCTCAAAGGAGTTGCCACCTGAGGAGAAGGTGTGTTATTTAGTTACTAAGTATGTGTGTGTATCGTACATCAACTTGTAAGGTATTTTCTACCTCCCTGCATATTTGATGTATATATGCGTTTTAACCTCTAGAAACTATTTGACCCAAGATTAATTGCACTACTGTCTTTGATTGAGGAAATATTACAGCTCGATAAACTCCCTCAAGTAGGAATTCAAGTTAATCAATTAGCTTTTGATCCCTCCTAACTAATCAAATATTCTTATTTGCCATATGAAATCTGTACAAATGGAGGTCGAATATATGCCCATAAAGGAGCAACATATCTGTAGCTAGTTTTGCCAGGATCATTCCCCCAAGAATGCTGTTAAGTGAAGGATTGAACTCCTAACTACATATTGACTGAGGTTTTGGATTTTTATACCATTTCAAGGACCACTCACCCAAAAACCTAAACTGTCAAGGGTCATAAAGCTATGATTAATTTCATTGATATATCTAAAAAACAAAATAAATATTTCATATCAAGTTGCATTTTTCTGCTTTGTCCTTGTTTGATTGCAATATAGTTGTAGACCTAAAGATTATATTAATGTTTATTCCCTTGTCTATTGCCAATCATTTATTATGTGGTCCTGTCTTTTGCCTATTATAATTTGATGCTTATCATTTTTATGAAGCTAGGACATTAAGTATCAATATCTTTGGAACTGCAAAGATTATATTAAGGGGGTACGCAAATATCAGTCATTGTGTTTTAATCATGAATGTGCAGGAATTAAGGGTTTCCTTAGTTTGCTTTTAAATCTTTATATTTATAGGCATCACGCATTATACTTGCAACTGATGGAGATCTACCTGGTCAAGCCTTAGCTGAAGAACTTGCTCGTCGTATTGGGAAAGAAAGGTTCACTTGAGTTTCTCCTGAATTTTCTGCATATATCAATTGTACTGATCCATAAGTGAAATCCAAGCTGTTACACTTCCTATATGTGGACCTTAACATTTTGCTTTCAATTAAGCATATTGATAATTTTTTGTTTTGTTTGCCATTTTTATTGTACAGTTTTTTCGCATTTTTTTTTGGGTTTTGTTGTCATAATTTTTTTGTTGCCACTTTATCTTTAGCCCTTTAATAGATAATTACTTTTTGCTGCATGTGTGACTTCCTTGTTTTGAAGGTTTCGCAACTATTTTGTGTTGAAGTGGGCTGTCATCACTAGGCCCAAATAAGAATTAACCCTAGTTTATTGTCACAACTTTCAAGCTAGAATCACTATCCTAATTAGTTTTTATCCTCTGTAATTTTAGGGATCCTAGGATTATTATTTGCTATTTTATTTATCTAATTATTATTGAGGACGATTTGTCCTAATTTTGTGCGATCTCTCCTCCCCTCTATGTACACTGTTTCTCATCATGAATAAACACACATTCAGCGCACCATACTTACATGGTATCCGAGCACCCCCCCTGTCTTTCAAAGATGCGCTGACTCCTAAGCCAAGAGCTTAACATGCCGACGGTGAAAAAGATGAGTCACCGTCGAATCTCAGGAGACTCCTTGAAGATGTCTGACAGCAAAGGGAGTAGGGCAATCGGTATGGTGAATGACTCGCTCTCTGGACTTATTATAACCCATCATTTGAATGGGAATAATGATCTTCAGTGGTCTCGAAACATTCTTATGTTTGTTTGCAAGAGGACGAAGGAGAAATACCTCACATGGGATCCTAAACCATCAAAACTAGGTGATGCACAATACGAGACGTGGTGTGTGGAGAATAATACCGTGATGACCTGGCTGGTTCACTCCATAAACCCATAAATTAGCGAAAACTATCTGCTTGTAAGTTTTGCATGCGATATTTAGGTATTGCTCGACACACTTACTCTGTGAAAGATAATACCGCAGCAATTCTTCAGGTCAAGCGATTACTCTGTAATCTCTCACAAGGGGGAAGTCTGTTACATTACACTACAACATCCTTGTGAGGCTTTGGCAGCAGATTGATCTCTATAAGGTCCACAAATGGACATGTCATGTCGATGAACTCTACTACAAGCAAGTAATTGATAGAGATAGATGTTATGGATTTTTACTTAGGCTTAATGATACTTTTGAAGATATCAGGGGGCGTATCATGGGCATCAAGCCTTTTCCTTCTGTGAAAGATATTTTTAATTTAATCAAGAATGAGGAGAGCTGGAAAGCCCTTGTCCAGCATTTGTCCCCAATCACTTCTCCACCAATAATCATGAGCTCTGTGATGGTGACTTGTAACAATCAAGGGGGAGATCATAGGGGGAAGAAGTCTCTAAAGTGTGATCATTACAGCAAGAATGGCAACACTCGTGACACTTGTTGGAAAATTCATGAAAAGCCAGCTTATTTGAAGTAGTGTCCGTGAGGAGAAAGCAAAGGGTATTTGATTGGTAGTTTTGTCTCTCAAGAAGATAGTCTTGATCTTGAAGAACTTGTGTTATTGCGTCGTGTTTTAGATAAGTATTCTCATGATAAACGAAGTGATCAATCCACTCCCTCAATAACCTTAGCTCACGCAGGTACATCATTATTTACAGCATTGAGTGCTATTATTGGATGTAGAAATATTTGGGCGGTTGGTTCTTGGGCAACAGACCACATCACTGGATGTAGGGAATTGTTTTTTGAATTCACCACATATTTTGAACACACATGGGTTCAGGGTTCCAGCACTATGGTCTTATTTGAAAAAATTGTTCTGGAAAATGCACTGTATGTGCCTGACATAAAGTGTAATCTGCTATCAGTAAAACTTCTAGCCCATAGAATAAATTGCCTGGTTATATTTGATCAGTTTCGTTGTGATTTTCCGGACATAGCCTAGGGAAAGGTGATTGGCAAAGCTAGAGAAAGCAATGGGCTCTACTATTTCGAAGGCATGCACGCAAGTAAAGGCTATGCAACGGCTTCTGCAATTCTTTCTGAACCTGTTTCACCTATGACTCATGAAGAAATTTTGTTATGGCATTCTAGATTAGGTCACCTTAGCTTTGATTATATGAAAATTTTGTTCCCAACTTCAATAAATAAAAGAACTTCTCAATTTTATTGTGATACTTGCCATGTAGCCAAACAAGTACATCATTCCTACACTCCAATTCCCTACATGCCATCCTAACCTTTTCCCCTCATTCACAATGATGTTTGGGGACCTTCGGGGATTGAAACTAATTCTAAGGCTAGGTGGTTTGTTACATTCATGGACAATCACACACGTCTCACCTAGCTGTTCTTAATGAAAAATAAATCTGAAGTGTGTTCACTCTTTAAGGTCTTTTATGTCTTTGTTCAAACTCAATTTAATGCTTCCATTAAGGTTTTTCGAAGTGACAATGGGAAGGAGTACTTGAACTCTCCTTTTCAAACCTTTCTTGCTGAAAAAGGGGTTCGTCATCAAACATCTTGTGCACATACATCTTAACAAAATAGAGTGGTTGAACATAAAAATCACCACCTTTTGGAAGTGGCTTGTGCTCTTTTACTGGGTCAAAATGTGCCTAATAATTTTTAGGGTGATGTTGTCCTCATAGCTACTTATCTTATAGATCGATCGCCCTCCAAAGTTTTGAAGTTTCAAACTCCTCGTAAAAAATTTTTAGAATGTTTTCCTAGTTCTTATCTAATCAACTCCCTTCCAAGTCAAGTCGTTGGGTGCACAACTTTATTGTTCAATGAGGAAGGTGGAAAATTGGATTCTAGGTCTGTCAAATGTGTTTTTCTAGGGTATTCCCCCACACAAAAAGGGTACAAGTGTTACTCTCCTCTCATTAAAAGAGTCTATATCACTATGAATGTCAAATTTGTTGAAACACTTCCTTTTTATTCCAAATCATCCATTCAAGGGGAAAGTGTTAGTGAATGGCTTATTTTCCATAGTGATCACTCTGGTTAGCATGAGAATTCTATCAATGAAAACCGAACATCCCTAGATATTGTCCTATCCTTTGATCTTGAACTAGCTGAAACTAACTCTCTTGAATTGCATGCAGCACCTGAGACTTGTCCAAACTCAGCTGAACCACAAACAGAAGCTGAAAATAGAGATACCTTTTGTTGTGATGGGCCGAAAAGCCCATTTAGCTTTATGTTTTAATTTTAGATTCTTCATTATCTTGTTAATCTCCAGTTCCTAAGATCCCGGTAAATATCCGTAGGAATTATCATGATGTTATCTCCTATTATCCGATTTGATTTCTTGTATTCGATCGCCCAAAGCCTAGGATCAGTTCCTATAAATGTACACAAGATTCCGATGAATAAAGTAAGTTTTCCAGGTTAAACTCTTACATGGTATTAGAGCGACGGTACCCACTATGATCAGGTTCGGCTACGGGTTTGATCCGCCAAGCCAAGCCGGCTCTTCCTCATCGGCGCTAAATTCCTCGATGACGGTGAATCCAGTGACGAGTCACCCAGGGCCACCCGAAACCCAGTCCTCGGCGATAACCATTCATTGCCTTAATGGCCAAAACTATCTACAGTGGGCGAACGGTGTTCGTTTGTATGTCATCGGAGAGGGAAAACTGGACTACCTGATCGGCAAAAGAACCAGGCCACCAACGTCCGATGAGAAGAGATACGCCGAATGGGAAGCGGAGAACTCAATGGTCCAATGCTGGCTTGTGAACTCCATGACCACGGAAATAAGCGCAAGCTTCTCGCTATTTCAGTCTGCCAAAGAAGTTTGGGATGCGGCTCGAGACATGTTCGCATCCATGAACAACCGTGCAGCCATTCTTGAGATAGAAACGAATCTCGACAATCTCAAGCTCGGTAATTTCACTGTTACGGAATACTGGACTAATCTCCTGGTCCTATGGCAGCAGCTGGATTCGTATGAGGGCTATGAATGGTCATGCCCTACCGATGCTAATCTGTACGCTAAGATAAAGGAAGAAAAAAGAATTTCTAAATTCCTACTTGGCCTAAATTCCTCCTTTGATGCTGCTCGTGGCCGGATTATGAGCCAAGAACCACTCCCAAGTATTCGGGAAGTATTCTTTATAATAAAACAAGAGGAGACTAGGCAAAAACTCTCCTCTCCAAAACTGCCAAGCCCGAGTGATGGGGAATCAGGAGCATTCTTCTCTAAAGGCGGGCCTCATGGAGACAACAAGAATAAGAAGAATGGCAGATGGTGTGATCATTGTCAAAAGGCAGGCCACACGAAAGATATTTGCTGGAAACTCCATGGTAAACCACCAAATACAAAAGGGAGAGGAAAACAAGAGAACAAAGCCTACATGACCAACAGAGAATCCTAAACAGAATTCGATGAGAAATTGAGCAGAGAAGAGGTTGAATTTCTTAGAAAATTACTGGATAAACATGATACCCGAGATGCTTTGGTTTCTACGGGTAATATAGCCTACACAGGTAATGCTGTTTTAGCACTTAAAAATTCTGTTCATAACAAGGATATGTGGATTGTTGATTCGGGAGCTACCGATCATATGACTGGTAATATTCATTTAATCCATAACCTACAACCGTGCCAAGTGCCTATGTTCATTAAGGTGGCTGATGGAAAATTTATTAAAGTTCATGGGATTGGGGAAACTTGTCTCTTTAATTGCCTTGTCCTTGAGAAAGTATTATATGCCCCTGATTTAATGTGTAGCCTCATCTCTGTTAGCAAAACTACTCTCACACAACGCTGCCATATTAATTTCTCTGCTATGATCTGTGTATTTCAGGACTTGGAGTCGGGGAAGATGATTGGCAAAGCTGAGATGCTAGAGGGGTTGTACTGTGTTCAAAAAGAGGCACCAGAAAAGGAAAGAGCTCTCCAAACCACCGCAAATAACCTTCCAGTTAAAATTTCCAGCAAAGAACTATTGTTATAGCACTATAGGTTAGGC